AAAAAAAAAAAAAAAAAAAAAACCAAACCAAAAAAAACCCCAAAGGGCTGGGGAGGTAGCTGAGTGGTAGAGCACTTTGCCCTACTTGTAAGAGACCCTAGGTTCAATTTTCAGCCTCACACACAAAAAAAGAGAGTGGAGCATTCTGGCCCAGACAGCTGCAGGAAGCCACAGAAATCTACCAGAAGCAACAAGGAACCTCTTCCTCCTCATCTCATTCCACCTGCACTGACCTGGCTCCTCCTGAGTTACCAGACACATCCACCTTGGCTAGCAGTTCCGTCCTGGGAACCCTTCCTCAGTTATCCTCAGGGCCACGTACCGGACCCTCTGTGTACTTCTGGGCAGATCTCACCTTATTTGTGTGGCCCTACCTGAGCAGTCTATTTTATTTTATTGATTGATTGGTGCTGGGGATCAAACTCAGGCCCTTGCTCTTACAAGGCAGGTGGCAGAATCATTGAGCCAAATCCCCAGCCCCTGAGCAATCTATTTTTTTTTTGGTACTGGGGATTGAACTTGGTCCTTGCACTTGCGGAAGCACTCAGCTAAATCCCCAGCCTGGAGCACTCTATTTTTAATCCCAATTCCCCCTTTTACTCTGCTCTTTTATTCATCATATTTGTCATTTTAACACACTTCATCAGATTTACTATGCTTATTTGTTTTTTTGAGATAGGGTCTTGCTATGTAGTTCAGGCTGGCCTCAAACTCACTGTGATCCTCCTGCTTCTGCCTGAGTGCTGGGATTACAGGTGTGTGCCACTGCACCCAGCAAGTATGCTCATTGTCTAAAAACAAAGGGACTAGATTATGAGCTCCCCAAGGGCAGGACCTTTGATTTATTTTCTTTTTTAGTACTGGGGACCAATCTCAGGACCCTTAGCTTGTGAGGCAGGCATGGTGCCAATGAGCTAAATCCCTGGCCCCTGATTTGTTTTCTTATGCACTCCTAGTGCCTAGGTCATGGACTTGGCAACCCTAATTTTTTTTCTGTATTGGGGATTGAACTTAGGACCTCAAGTGGCACCCAATAAATATTCACAGACCCTTTCTTTAAAATAGTGGTTGGCAAACTACGGCCTGTGGATCAAATCCAGCCTACTACCTTTCTGGGATTAGAACTTTGGAACACAGCCATGTCCCCTTGTTTACATGTGACTGTGGCTACCCTTGTGCAGCAACAGCGGGGCTCAGTACTGTCACAGAGACCATGTGGCCCAAGAAGTCTACTGTGTGTGGTCTGGCCCCACACCAACTCCTGCTCTAGGTGATTCTTTTTTTTGGTACCAGGGATTGAACTCAGGACCTTCCGCTTGAGAGGCAAGGGACAGCACCACTAAGCTAAATCCCTGGCCCGTTCTAGGTGATTCTAATGCCAGCTATATAGTGTGACCACCACAGTTCTAAACATTTCTATTTAGATATGACTTCTTATAGGCAATATTAAAAACACAAACGAAAGTCATCAGTAAGAAGCAAACTGCAGCTGGGTGTGGAGATGGCTTATAATACAGGAAATCTGGGAGGCTGAGGCAGGAGTATCACAAGTTCAAACCCAACTGGAGCAACACAGTGAGAACCTGCCTCAAAATAAAAAATTAAAGGTCTGGGGATGTAGCTCTGTGTGAAGCCCTGGATTTGATACCTAGCATCACACACACACACAAGGCAGCACATTGCAAAGTTGCTCGGCCTACATTCCTCACAAGGCATCTTGCACTGTCTTCCTGCCACAAGCACTGTGGTAAGAATATGGTCTCTGAAGACAGGAAGACCTGAGTTGCATCTATACCTTTCCTACTATAGTCTTAGGCAAATGATTCTTGGTTTCTGGCTATTTATACAATAAAAATAAAACCAGCCTCTTTGAAAAGAACCACTGGAGAGGCATATTAGAATGCAGATTCCTAACCTCCCCCACAACCCTGTTGAATTTCAAGAGGTCTACCTGGTGGCCCTGGCTTCTACTTTATAAACAGGTTTGTGGGTGATTCTGTGGAGACTTGGGCCTGCCAGTTGAGAAAATGACCTTAGAAGTGTGAGTGTGAAGTACCAGTTACATACATGCACACCTAGTGGATATTTAACAAATGGAGCCATGTTTCTCCTAAAGGCCTGTCTCATTTCTTTGTTTTTTTGAGACAAGTGTCTTGCTATGTAACACAGGCCAGCCTCAAATTCCAGCTGATCCTCCTGGCTCAGCTTCCTGAATGCTGGGATTACAGGCGTGTGCCACCACGCCTGGCCGATCTAAGTAATTTTCTACATGGTCCCATACCAAGTCACTGAGATCTGTGACCAAGACCAAGATCTTCTGGGCTTGCATGTAAGTCTTCCTGTTCTCGGGGGTGGGGGGTGGCGGCACTCAATTTGCTGGCAGTACAGCTTCCTGTGAGTCAGAAGCTAGACCTCTGGCTGATTCCTCAGTCACAGGTTGCAGCTATAGCCCCGTAGCCAGTTTCCCCTAACCCAGTGATGGCAAACCTTTTAGAGCTTCAATGACAAAAAACAGCCCGCTGAGGCTCCTGTGCCGTAAGTTTGCCAGCACTTGCCTAACCACTAGGACTCGAAACTCTTTCAGGATTGAATGCTAGGGTAGACCTTTCCACAAACAACGAGTATGAGTTAACGTTCCTGGAGCATTTCACGTCCCCCCTCTGAAGTGGGTATCAACAGTCCCAGTTTCACACACACATACACACAAACTTCAACAGCAGACAGAGGGAAATCTGGGCGCTCCTTACATTAGCCTCCTCCCACCACCTCGTCCTGTCACAGGCAGAGCATACTAAGATCTCTGTTACCCTGTGCATGTGACAGAGACTTGATTACACAACTTAAGACTTCATGATGGAGTCTGCTTTCTGTATCGTTTTCAGGTGATTACTAACTTCAAAGCACTGTCACTCACAGCTCATTTTACTGTTTGATTGGCTCTCTGCTTCCCTAGTCAACAAATGGAGACAAAAGTAGTTTTCAGATCCCACAATCACTGGTGAAGTGGGGCCTTCAACTAAGGCCTCATCAGCCACAGGCCTGCCCCACATTCCCCTCCACTGCTTTTACTGAGAGAAGCTGAGCAGGATGAGTCCAGTCTCTTAGATCAGTCAGGTTCTGGGACAAAATTCAAGGGGGAGAAACGCTATAATGACAGGGACCGCCTGTGGCCACCCCAAGAGACACCATGGGACCTAGAGGACAAGTTCATATCATCCTAGGTTGTGGGTATAAGAGGGAATAGAAATCAATCCTCCTAAGAGTTATTCTTTATACTGTGTTCTCACTGTTCCGAGCTAGCCCAAGTCCCTGGCTTCCCCATCTAACTGCGTACAGTTATTTGGGGGCATCTTCTGCAATCCCAGGCCCACCTTTCACATGCCCCAGTGCATCAGGGCAGCACAGCAGAGTGGTTAGGAGCTTCCTCCATACCTCCCTTATAATCTCAGCTTCATCCAGCCTTCAACCACAGCTGATCACCTTCTTTACAGATCAAATATATAGTTCCCAATGGAACTTACACTTTTAAACCTTCTGTTTCACTATTTTTCATTCCTTTCTTTGCCTAGCCAAGACTCTATGAGCCACCACTCTCATCATTTCTGGCATATACTTGGATTTTCTTCTTTTCTTCCAATGCTATTAGCTGGCTAGTCTTGAACTCTAGTTAAACCTGCTCTGAGCCTGCACACAAGAAACTTAATGTGGCTAGGCCAAAGTACAACACGGCTGACTGGTCTCACCTCAAATCCGTGACCATCTTTTTCTCAAGTAGACCCCGGTACCTGTCATCTAGAAACCCCCTACATCTGTCAGAATCACCACCTACTCTGCAATTCTTTAACAGGACTATTCTATATATTTATTGGGTGGGTGACTGATCTCAGTTCCTTAACAATAGAAAAACGGGGACATCAGCACCGATCCCTTTAGGCTTTCGTGAGGACTGAGATATATGCATAGATCTAGACACAGAAAATGCTCAGAGAATGTTCCATCTTACAATCTCTCCAAAGCAGGGCTCTACTCAAATTTCTTCCCTGACTGAGATCCTACATGAAAGTTACCACCAATTTTTAGAGGAGTAAGCAGAGGCTTACAGATCAGGAGCTTTTTTGAAGTCACATGGCTTATGAGCAAAGTTGGGATCTGAATCCAGAATTATAACCCAGAGCCTGCCCTTTAGCCTCTGTGCTCTGCTGCTTTATGGCCTCAAGCCCAACCTTCTGATTCTAGCTGAAGGTGTTACTTAAACTCTTTCTGAGCCAATCCATCTGACCTTTTTGTTGTTTTTTTGAGACAGGGTCTCGCTATATAGTTCAGACTGGCCTCAAACTCATGGTGATCCACCTGTCCCAGCCTCACACGTGCTCAGATTACAGGTGTGTGCCACCATACCTGGCTTTGCCTGCCTTTCTTGTACCTCCCTCTCCTGAGTGGGATTTGGCCATTACCCCTTAGATGTACCCCATCAACCTGGACTACCAGTCCTCATGCCTGCCCCAAACTCTCTGAGTCTCCTGTATCTCCTTGGTGCAACACCTGCTGGTGCTCAGTGGTTCCTTCTCTTTGAATTCTTCTGTTCCGTGCTGCTTTTATGCTTCATCACAAAGACTAGAGCTTCTGTCCCCACCCCCTCGGGTTCTCATAAACAGCAGGAGTAGGTTCAATGGATGACCTTACTGAATCAGGCAGGAGGAAAGCACTATGATGGGAGACTGGAGACCCTGCTGCAGCTCTTCCTCCTCCTAGCCAGGTTCTTCAGAAAGGCTTGAGTGGGGCCACTTCCTATCCACTGCAGCAAACAGTCCCTCACTATCTATACAGCAGGCCGGGCCTCACATCTGGACAAGCTTTGTGGCTGTGACTGGTACTGCGTGTCAGCAATGGCAGCACAAGTATGTGCAAGGGGTGGGGTGGGGTCTCGCTGACAACTAGCAAGCTCTGGAGTGGGATTTGGGAAGTGGAAAAAAGCTGACGCCAGGGCTATCCTTCTCCCTTAATTCCTAGAGTTAAAGAGGTTGCTCTTTGACATAAACATAGTCTCGAGCCTAAAACTCCATGTACAGATAAGACACTGAAGCTCTATTACAGAAGCTGGGTCATCCTAAGTTCATGGGTTTTCATTTCATTCTTCTTTAAACTAAGGTTTGTGTGCGTATTTCATAATAATAACGAAGGCTTAGGGAAACTGAATGACTTTTCTAAGGTTTCACAGGGGAGAAGACCCCTTGACATTAACATTACAGGGATGCCTAGTGAGGACAAGGCTGCACTGTTCAGACAGACAGAAATCCTCACAGTGTGGCACCCAAGGGCATGGCCTGCTAGACAGACCTGAGTGTTAGGTCAGAATCTGGACTTGACACTTCCTGGCCATGTTAAGTTGAGCAAGTTACTTAACATTTTAGGGCTTCATTTTTTTCACCTGTAAAATGAGGACAAAATGCCATATAACATTCAATATGGAACCTAGTATAAATGCGATTTTGTTGACTCTAAAGACCGCAGCAATTTTAAGATGCATTCTTCTTTGAGAAAACACGTGTATGTTAGACTTGATGAAATATGGGAATAAAAAATATATAGCAACTGTATTCCTCCTCCATATCACAAATGTGAGAAATCTCCTAGGATTGTAGCAAGAAACAAGGAGATTCAACTGCCTTGTAAATAGGCAACTCCTGCCCTGCACAACCCTCTGGTCTTGGGGCTCCAGCTTACCTTTCTTGCCATTGTTGGAGGGTGTAGACTTTCCACTGTCTGAGTTCAGCTCAAACACCCTTAAGTCTGTGGGTACCTCCTCCCTCAGAGTCTCTACTCTGGCTGGAGGCCTGGGTTCTGGGCCACTAGGGCGGCCAGCAGGGGTTAGGGACTTGGAGGGAACTGGAGGTGGAGGTCCAGTCTCGCCTTCATCCGAGGCCAGGCCCTGTTCCTCCAAAGATGCCTCCAGCAGCTTTTGAGATAGGTCTTTGGGCACCACTGGTGCCTCAGGTACGGTGGCAAGGTTGGCAATCTGCGTCACGAGGGAGATGCTCTCGCTGCTCTCCGAAGGAGTCACCTCTGCTGGGGGCTCAACTGCAGGCACTGGTGTCTCTTCACAAGGGTTGTGGCGGCCAGGTCCTCCCTCAGGGGATGTGGAAGTTTTGGTCACAGGAACCTTCGCCTCTTTTGGAGATGTGGGTGAAATGCCCACAAGTTCCTCTGTAGAGAGAGATGTGGGGGAAAGAGGGCAGTGCATCCTGGCCAACCCCAAGACAACTTTGGAGCTCACATCCCTCACCTGGCCCCTTCAGGGATCTCCTGCAGTCACTCTGAGCTAGTCAAAGTCCCGCCTAGGCACAGGGCCCTGGAGGTCAGCAATACCACCCAAAATGAAAAGAGATTAGACTGCCACTTTGAAAGTGGGTCAGTTTTGGGTTCAGGACTAACCCTATTGCATTCTAGAGTATGGCTGGGCAAGCTATTTCACTTTTAACTTACCTGCCTCAGCTGTAAAAGAGAGATAACGGAGGTATGGTAAGGACTACATATATATGTGAAGCTCTCAGTGTCACCTAGGCGGACAATTGAACTTTAATAAAAGTTTTAGCATTACATCACTGGAGTGGCTCCAACGTGCTGCTCTAAGCTGACCTCCAAGGTAGAGGAAGCTCAACTCCCACCCCAACCCAGGAATTCTCAAACCTTGCCTGGCGTCAGCATGACCCAGGGGGATTGTTAAAAATACACCTTTGAGGGCCAGGGATTTAGCTCAGTGGTGCTGCTGCCTGCCTCACAAGCATGTGGTCCCGAGTTCAATCCCCGGTATCAAAACAAAACAAAACAAAAAAAAAACAACCACCTTTGGCTACATTCTTAGAGTCTTATTTAGAATGGGAAAAAGGGAATCTGGATTTTCAATATGCTCCCCAGGAAGTGTGAAGCAACTGGTCCATTGCTGGAAGGGCCATCTGCTCCGGGGGTTCCACCAGCCTTGTTTCACTTGACATCTCATCAGCACAACCTATGCCAAGTACTTACGCTGTGCTCATTCTCTCCTCTTCGATGGGGCGACAAAGCTCTCCCGGCCTCTAAGAGCCCCACAGATAGGCCTGTCATTTGCTCATCACATTTCAACACCTCTTACCTTCTTCCTCCTCCCAGCCAGGCTCTTCTGAGAGGCTCTGTTCTGCCCGCTGCTTCAGGGCATCTCTCCGGGCCTGCTCCTGAGGATAGGAGAGCAACAATCAGGAGCAGTCAGGGCACCTTCTCCCAGACGTTGGTCCTGAACTCTTGACACTCTGTCTCCCTCTTCTGCCTCAACAAAGTCCATGCCTGCCTTGCATAGGGTGGTACGTGCCTGTAATCCCAGCACTCTGGGAGGCTGAGGCAGGAGTACAGCAAGTTTAAGACCACCCCAGGTAGCTTAACAGCTTAGCAGACCCTGTCTTCACAGGCCCTGGGTTCAATCCCTACCATGGCGGGGAGGGGATCCAGCCTGTTTCTACCAGGTCTGAGCAGGGACCTCTCTGGACGAAATTAACATACCTGTTCTAGCTGATGGACTTTATAGAAATACCGATGCCAGAATTCTGAATGGGAAACAGCTGCTGGAACCTGGAAGAGGGAAAGTAGAGGTGAGAATTTGCAAGTATCGGATGGGGTCTGTGTCCTCACTCTCACTGGTCCCCTCCCAGCCATTCTAGGTTTCAGACACAGGAGGTGTAGCTGTGCAGGGTCTGTGAGAGCCCTTCTGCCCCCATCTCAGTTTCAGCCAGACCTACCTTGGCCAAAGAGGAAGAAAAGAACTCCCATTCAGCTTTGTGGACCCTTCATTTCTCACCATTCTCTGAATGCAAATCAGCCTCTTCCATCCGATTCTTGGCTCAGGGCATGGCAGGTCTGGCTCTTTAGGGTCTCCCCCTGCACACGTCCCACCCACCTCCTGACACCTCAAGTCTGGAGCCAGCTGAGGTCCTGCCGGCTGGGCCCTCACCATCTTGGTGTAAAGGGCCCGGATGGAGGGGCTGTCTAAAAGAAGCTCTGAGATCTCCCCCTTCTTCTCCTCCAAGCAGAACTCGGAAAGCCAGGCATCAAATAATTCCAGGGGCCCTGCAGAGGAACAGATGCTGACGGTCAGTTCCCCGGGTCTGGAGAAGAACAATGGACCCACAGAATGTACCTGAGCCTGGACTTGGACAATGAAGCACGTGAGTTTTCCAAAGTCGTTTGGCCCAGGGTGGGAAGGTCAGGTAGGGTAAAGGGGTGGATGGTCCTACTGAGGTCATGGTGGAGAACCTACATGCTCTCCAGAAAGAATAGTCGTCTCCACCTCCCCATGTCCCTGCTGGCATTTTAGCCCACTGCACTTGGCTGCAGAGCCCTCCTCCCCACAAACAGGTACTCTCAGATCACCACTGGACCCACCTTGCCAGGGCCAGTGGCTGCGGCTCTGTCTACCCTGTGACTGTGCTACCATTTCTCAGTGCAAGCCACTGCCTTCCTCGAGAAGCCCTCTTCCCTTGGCTTTTGTTCTTTTTTCTCTTCCTTCCACTTTTCTGGTTGTTCCACCTGAATCTTCATGGGTTCCTAGTTTGCCATTTCTTTTTTTGGGGTGGGTACAAGGTATCAAACTTAGGACCTTGCATTTGCAAGGCAAGGGCCGTGCTGCTGAACTAAATCCCCAGCCCTTTCCTTTCCTTACCTCTTCTTGCTTTCTATTTTCTCCCAAGATAATCCACATTAAGCCACATGTTTAAATCCCCTCCTCCTCTGACCATTCCTGTGTCTCTCTCTGTATCCCAAACCCTTCCAGGGCCACAGGTTCGGTGCAAATACAGCATGTGCTCATTTTTCTCTCCACACAGTTATCCACTGGAAACCAGTGGCCATCCTAGACTTCTCCCTTATCTACTCATTTTTTTTGACACAGGGTCTCACTATGTAGTTGAGACTGACCTGGAGCTCACTATGTAACGCAGGCTGGTCTTGAACTCACAGCGATCCTCCTGCCTCAGCCTCCCGAGCTCTGGGATTATAGGCGTGCGCCACCATGCCCTGCCTTTTTGTTCTGTTACTGGGGATTGAACTCAGGACCTCACTGTGCCACTGAGCTTAATCCCTAGCCTCTACTTGGTAATTTTTGAGACAGGTCTCACTATGTAGTCCAGCCTGGCCTTTAATTCTTGGTGATCTTCCTGCCTCAGCCTCCCAAGTAATGGAATTATACGTGTGTGCCACCACGCCCACTCTACTTGCTCTGATCTCACTTCCTCAGTGTTTCTTTGCACTCCCTACTCTTCATTTCACCTGCCTCTTCCTAGGCTCGGGCCTTACCTTTTTCTTTCTTTTTTTTTTTTTTGTGGTACTGGGGATCGAAAGGCGGTGGAACCACTGAACTAAATCCCTGGCCCTGGCCTTACCTTTGACATGGGGAGTCTTACTAAATCTCTGAATTAGTCTTCCTGTTTGTTTCTCTCCTTCATCTGTCATAACACTGCAAGGGCTGCTTTACAAAATGCAAAATCTGATTATCTTAGGCCTCAAAACCCTTCAGTAGTTCTCTATGGGAGGGCTTCATTTTTTTTTTTTTTTGAGACAGGGTCTCAGTAGGTAGCCCAGGCTGGCCTTGAACTTGCTGCGACCCCCCCTGCCTCAGCCTCCTGAGTGCTGGGATTATAGGTATGCACCACCATGCTCAGCTATGCAATGGCTTTTTGTTGTTTTAATACCAGGGATCAAACTCAGGACCTTGCACATGCAAGGAAGGCAAAGCACCATTGAGCTAAATCCCTGGAAAAGGGGCTTTTTAAACTAGGATCCACAGATGATCTTCAAAGGGTCAAAGAATGCCGCTGTGCACACAAAATTTTGTGGATGGGCTGGGGATTTAGCTCAGTGGTTCTGTGGCCTGCCTCACAAGTGCAAGGTCTCAAGTTCAACCCCTGGTACCCCCAAAAAAATTGTGGAGAGGAGGCTTGTTTCAACAGGTCTTTAAAGATTCCTGTTACTAAAAAGGTCTAGAACCACTAGTGTGAGCTTTTTAGGACAAAATTCAATGCTTAGTCTGGCATACAAAGCCACTATAAGCTGGCTGGCTCACATCAGTGCTTTGGCTGCCTTTACACCAACACACATACTATTTAACTCAGTGTCACCAAAAATCTAGGGGTTCTTGTTCTTTCTGGACTTTCAAATATGCTATTACTTTTTCTTGATCTTCTTATACTTCTAAAAGTAAAATTAGTTTACTTCTGGGCCAGGGATTTAGCTCAGTGGTTCTGCTACCTCCTTGCAAGTGCAAGGTCCAGAGTTGAATCCTCTGTACCAAAATAAAACAAAACAAAACAAAAAACTAGCTTATTTTTTATTTTATTTTTTTGAGACAGGGTCTTACTATGTAGTTTAGACTGACCTGGAACTCAATATGTAGCCCAGGCTGGTCTCAAACTCACAGTGATCCTCCTACCTCTGCCTCCCAAGTGCTGGGATTACAGGCGTGCGTCACCATACCCAGAAAAACTAGTTTTCTTCTAACTCATCCTTAAAACCTCAATTCAGGACCAAGAATGTAGCTTATCAGCACAGCGTCTACTGGCAAACTTGAGGCCCTGAGTTTGATTCCTGGTACAAAACAGAAACAATAACACCTCAATTCAAGTATCACTTCCTGGGCTTCTCAGGCTGGGTATTTACTCCTCTGCGTGTATTTTAGCAGAAGCAGTCATTTGACTCCCCTCTCTACTGTCTGCTTTATTCTGTCTGCTGGTTCTCCTCCCTAACAGCCTTGTCCTGGAGGGCTGGGTCAGATGGAGAGCCTGACTCATTTCTGGTCCTTAGTTCTGATAAGGCACTTGATGTGTGGCAGTGGCTGAGTGAACAGGGGATGATGGGAAGGGAGGCAGGGTGGGGGGCTGGGAAGGAGGCTGAGCAAGTGGGAGCAGAGGAGCTGGGGTGAAGCCAGCTAGGGCTCAGGAAGGAAAGTGACCACCAACCCATCCCAGACATACTAAGTTGTCCACTAGTCAGTCCCTGTCCACAGGGGTCTTTGGCCTCTGCTACCTGAGACAAAGAGGACCCATACCCACGTCTACTTAGTCTAACTGCCCCACAGACCACCCTCAGGAGTCCCTCACCATCAGGTTCGTTGCAGTAGGTTGCTGGGTCTGACTGCAGGCTGTAAAGGCGAGCCTGTGAACAAGAGAGACAAGAGATTTTGGGGTGCCGGGATACACAGCACTTCTTTGCAGAGTACTACAACCCAGCTTCTTCCCTGCTAGCTACCAAACACAAAAGGCACTTAACAAGCATTGGGGCTGTGCTTAGTCCAAAACTGCGGCTCCTAGTAAGCCACCCCCTGGGAAGTAAGAAAATATAGTATAAGCAGGCTAAAATTATTATATGTATAAAATGTTTCTAAAGTTTATGTGAAATTTGAGAAATGTCAACGACAAATATATTAATAAAATTTAGTTTTAGTAGTATTATGGCTTGTGTTTAGATGTCCCCTCAAAGCCTCATGCATATGAGGCAGGACTTTCTTTTTCAGAGCTAGCTGAATCTGGAAAGTGTGATGCTGGGGTTAAGAGTGAGTGATTACTAAACCAGTGTGTGATTAGGCTGGCAGTGCCCTAATCTTGGTAGTCTGGATGGGATAAAAGAGGCACACAGACTCAGTGAAGGCCTTTTTTGTGGTACCAGGGATCGAACTCAGGACCTCATGCTTGCAAGGTGTGTAGCAGAACCATTGAGCTAAATCCCTGGCCCAAACTTTCCTTTTTTTTTTTTTTTTTTTGGTACCGGGGATCGAACTTGGGGACCTTGTGCTTGTGAGGCAGGCGGCGGAACCACTGAGCTAAATCCCCGGTCCTTGTGAAGGCCTCTTTTGTTGCCTTTGCACCTTGTGCATGCCATGTGGTTTCTCCTGTTTGCCATCCCTGAATTGGAGCCAGCAGACTATGGAATGAAACCTCTACAAAGTGTGAGCTATATAAACCTCTCTCTCTTTTTTTTTCCTTTTGGTACGGGGAATCAAACTCAGAAGCTTTTGCTTGTGAGTCAGGTGGCAGCACCACTGAGCTAAATTCCTGGCTCTAAACCTCTCCCCTTTTAACTTTGGGTATCAGGTATTTTGTCTCAGCAAGATAAGAAAAACTAACACCAGGGAAAAATTGTGGTTTTTTTGTTGTTGTTTTTTTGAGACAGGGTCTCACTGTGTAGTTGAGACTGACCTGGAACTCACTATGTAGCCCAGGCTGGTCTCAAACTCCCAGCGATCCTCCTGCCTCAGCCTCCCCAGTGCTGGGAGTAAAGGCATGCATCACTATGCCCGGCCTTGAAAAATTGTTAAATAATGTAACTACACCCAAATTAAAACTATTCATCAACATTTCTTAGCTGGGTGTGATGGCACACACCTGTAATTTCAGCACTCTAGGAGGCTGAGGCATGAGGATTGCAAATTATAGCCCAGCCTGGGCAACTCAGCAAGACTCCGTCTCAAAAATAAATAAGCAAATAAATAAGGCTGGACATGTAGCTCAATGTGAAGACCCTGGTTTCAATCTTCAGTATCACAAACACACAAAGATTTCTTGGGGTACAGGTATAGCTTAGCAGTATGGTGCTTACCACGCACAAGGCCAGCATTTATAACCGCAGCAGTACCACCACCAAAACAAAAACAAAACGGAAAAAGAAACAAAAAACCACCTTAATTTTGTAGCCTGTCTGCTAAGTAAATCATAAATAGTGCTCCCACTAGGGCCACAGACAGGCAAACGTCAGTGGATAAACAGAAACTTCCACTCTCCCCCATCACATGAAGACACTGGGTCTATCGGATCAGAATTTCAGCAAATGGTTTTGGTGATGAGTTGTTATAATTTAAAATCTTATTTAGTAATTACTGCAATTCCACAAGTTCACTCGGTGGTGGAACTAAGGCTAGTGCTAAAAACAGGCACAAAAAATCAGTATGAGTAGAAATTCAATATGATCAAATGCTACAAAGAAGGTCCAAATGACATGACAGCACACTGAGAATTTAGGAGAAAAAAATCCATGAGAGAGAAGCGTTGATGAAAGACTAAAACACGGAACAAATACACCATGGGGGTTGTTGATTTAACTGCTCTGAAGACTCCCTTTCTGTCTATGTGTTTATTCGTAATGGACATTAATCTTTTTTGAGATTAGGGTCTTACTGTGTTGCCAAGGTTGGCCTTGCACTTGTGATCCTTTTGCTTTATCCTCCACTGGGACCACTGCACCTGGCTTGGAAATTAGTCTAACTGAGATATGGAGAAAATGATGCCTCCAAAATGCTCTCCACAATGTGCTTATAAAGCTGGAAGCTAGGGCCGGGGATTTAACTCAGTGGTTCCACTGCCTGCCTCACAAGCACAAGGTTCTGAGTTCGATCTCCTGTGCAAAAATAAATAAGTAAATAAAATTTTAAAAATAAAATAAAGTTGAAAGCTGAAAGGAATCCACATGTGTAACACTAAGGAAATAAATGAATAATGTTATACTCACTTGTAAGACTTAAAGACATTAAAAGTGATGGTGATTAGGAAAGAGACTAATGGTTGTACATTTTTAAAAAGCATATTACAAAGTTGCATTTATAAAGTGGTTATTTTGTTTAAAAGAAAAACCCCTGTAATCCTAGCTATTTTTGAGGCTGAGGCAGGAGGATCTCAAGTTCAAGGCCAACTTGGACAACTTAGCAACTTGGTAAGACCCTGTCTCAAAATTTTCAAAATTTTTTAAAAGGGCTGGGAATGTGGCTTAGGAGCCGAGTGCCTCTGGGTTGAATCCCTAGTACCTCAAAGAAACAACCAAAAACACCAAAAATGTCTAGTGATGTATCTCAGTGGTAGAGTACTGCCTATCATGTGTGAGCTAAAGAAAAAAAAAAAAAAAGACGCAAATCATCTTTACCTATATTTGCAAAAAAAAAAAAACCCAAACAAATAGAAAGTTATATATCAACAGGGAATCAGGTTTGTCTTCGGATGACAGGATTATGGGCTCAGACATACAGTATTTGTTTCGCCTGAACGTGTGTTGCTGTTGTGAGTAGAAATTGAAAGCTAAAGCTCAGCATCAGTACTGGAGGCTGCTGGTGAATATTCACCTTAGTGCCATCATAGGGCTCGGCCGTGCCGGAGGGTGTACCCATCAGGGTGATTACATCACAGTCGATGGTTTTGTCCGGCGAGGGAGCAAAGGTATCTGAGATTACCCCGAGGAAGTCCGACAATCCCTTCTTCACTTTTTCTGTTGCCCCTGAGGAGCCTTCGGTCTGCAGAGAGAATGAGAGAGAAGCAAGTGCCCAGGAACAGGCTGAAATCTAGAAAATGGGGGCAGATTTGGAGCAGGTGGGGAGCACCAGGGAAAGGGTGTACTATGTGTGAGGACCAAGGAAATGTTCACAGATCTTTCACCTCATCACAGGGCTGAAGGAGGAAAGCAGCCAAGGCCCTTTCTCTACCAGCTGGGGATTCAGAACAGGGTGGGAGGCCCGTAGAGATCAGAGCAGATTCCTGACTGTTTCACCAAAATGTCAAGGCCAATCAGGCTGATTAAAAAGTGGTAAACCAGGCATGTGGTACATGCCTGTAATCTCAGTACTCAGGAGGCTGAGGCAGGAGGACTGCCATGAGTTTGAGGCCAGGCTAGGCTACACAGTGAATTCAAAGGCCAGCCCAACTACACAGCGAGACCCTGTATCAACTCCCTCACCCCCAAAAGTGGCAAGAGTAAACTGGGTATAGTGGTATACGCCAGTAATCCCAGGATACAGGAGGCTGAGGAAGGCGGACTGCCATGGGTTCAAGGACAGCCTGGGTTACATAGTGAGTTTGAAACTAGCCTGGACTACATAGTGAGACTGTCAAAAAAAAAAGCAAGAGCAAATGGACCATATCATAGACATTTCAGCAGGGCCTGTGGGCAGGCAGTGTTGGAAAAAGTACTAGCTTTGGAGCAGGACATGGAATTGAATCCCACATGTAATATTTAGTTGGTTTGGGACATAAAGCCTCTCTGTGTCTCAGTATCTTGATTTGTAAAGTGCAGATAAATCTACACTCTAGGATTACTCTGAAAACTAAAAGGCATGGATAATACCTGGAACACAGCAAAAACCTAGTAAGTAGCAAAACTGTAACATTACAATTCTATCGTCATTGTTCAGGAAATAGAATATTTTGTACAAAAGGTTGGGAAATATGGGTAGAATAAGAACAGATAGTCTTGCCTTGCCTGGGACTGAGAAACTAGTCAAGGGTCAGCACATGGACCTCCTGGAAAGGGCAGGTGTGACAGCAACCTTGAGCCATACAGGTCAGAATGCCCTCCAGGAGGCAGGTCACAGTCCAACAACCTTGTGAAAACTGAAATACTTAACTCTTTCTTTTTTTCGTACTGGGGATCGAACTCGGACCCTTGTGCTTGCGAAGCAGGCACCAGAACCACTGAGCTAAATCCCGGGCCCAAAATACTCACTCTTTATTAAGCTGCCCAGGTATTTTAAATCTAGAACCTGTCATAGTGCATAGCACATAATGCTACAGCTATCCAATCACACTGAATGAAACAAAGAGATAAATGAATAAGTGGTACCTCTGCTACCGGCTAGACTTACAGCAGTTTGGCATGGCTCCTATTCATAATTCATGCAAACAGACAGTATTTTATAAAAGGATTCAATAAAATAAGTTTGCTAGGAAAACCCTCCAGACTTACTTGCCTGCTTGTCTGACTTCTTTATTAATCTTCTTTCCTTTTTTTTTTGGAATCAGGGCATTGTTTATGTTGCCCAGACTAGTGTTCAATTCCTGGGCTCAAGAGATATGCCTGAGCCTCCTGAGTAGCTGGTATTACAGACACATCTCACTGTGCCCAGCTCAAAACTTGTTTTTCATAACATGGCCTCTAATCTCAAGGTGAGTCATTCAGCTGGTGATCAAATGGAGAAACTATAATCTGTCCCAATGCTAACAGAAACCTAATATAAAAACAGGTATACTGAAAAACAAAAACAAAAACAAAAGCAGGTATACTCCACTGGAAAATTAAGAGATATGTGAAGATATCTTTGACCATCCGTATCTTTCACATTTTACACTGACTCAATAATCTAATTTCTATCTCAAAAGAGGATTTTATTGTACATGTTTGACTAATAAGAAGAGGGACAACGAAAATATAAATTTCCACAAAACCAGCATGGCTAAAATAAATAAGAATACTTTCTTGCTGCGTGTGGTGATGCATGCCTATAATCTTAGCTACTGAGGTAAGAGGATCATAAATTCAAGGCCAGTTTGGAGAACCTAGTAAGACCTAAAAAAAAGAGAGACAAAATGCAAAAATTTAGCAGAGAATGCTCATTGTAGCTCTGTGTACTATACTAGAAAAACTGAAACAGGAAAGTGGGAACTAGTTAAATCCACGTAATAGAATTAATACCATTTGAACATCATTTGCAGAATAAGGATTATAATGATCAAGTAAAAAAGTAGGTTAAAAAATATAGTTTCCAGTTGATCCCACTTTTAAAGAAGAAATGGTATGTAGGGAGATAGCCCCAAAAGAGTAACAACAGTCATCTCTGGATCAGAGAACTATGGGTGTATCCAGGTTAGTCTTGTCTTTACTTTCTCTTTTCTTTTGCTTAGCTGTATTTTCTACAATGAATGACTTTGCTACTGGAAAAATTTGCTAAAAGAATTCAGAAGTAGGAAAACCAATGAGTGTTTAACATTTACATGTGTATGCTTCACAAACAATTCTTTTGAAATGGGAGGAAAAAACAATGCATATTTCCCCAGTCACATAACAAAGAGTTTGCTTTGAGTCCCCCCAGGGTCCCAGGGCAGGTCAGGCTGCGAGGCAGAGGCAGTCGTGGAGGTGCGAGTACTCACGGTCAGCTTCTCCTTGACCACGCTGGCTGTGGCTGCGATGGTACACGCTGTGTCATGCTGTACCACCTGGGTAAACTCTGTCAGGTCCCGCTTCATGAACTCCAAAGCTTCGGAGGACTGCGGGAAGACAGAGAAGGTTACCACAGCCAGTTTGTCACCTGTGTTTCTGTAGCAGCAGACATACAGATCTCTCAAGAGACACAGGAGCCTGGGCTTGGTGACAATGTTTAGGTGTCCCAATTCCACGATCTGGGATTATCGGGACAGCAGCAAGCACAGGGGAATTCCAGCTCCGCAGCCCAGGGACTCACAGCTATGTGGCCATGAGTGAGTCTATACACAGGAGCCTGGGCTTGGTGACAATGTTTAGGTGTCCCAATTCCACGATCTGGGATTATCGGACAGCAGCAAGCACAGGGGAATTCCAGCTCCTCAGCCCAGGCACTCACAGCTATGTGGCCATGAGTGAGTCTCATCTAGTGCCTAGTTTTCTCCTTATAAAAGGTGGGAGGTAGACTAGGTGAGTGATTCTCAGGGATACTTACAGCCTGAAAACAAAACAGACTTGATAAGTTGCTTGATATGCTCTAAGTCATACTTGTTTCAAATTTCAAATAAGACAGGGCCATGGTGACACATGCCTGAAATCCCAGCACAAGGATCATCACGTTTGAGTTTGAGGTCAGCCTAGGCTACACAATGAGTTCTAGATCAGCCTGGACCACACAGTGAGACTGTCTTAAAAAAAAAACAACAAAAAAACCACTAAAAATAAACAAAACAAGACAAAACCCCACAAAACCAACCAATCAACCAAACAAAAAGAACCAATCAAATAATTTGACAAAAGGTATGTGATTTTTTTTTTAATAAAAAAAAGGAGGGGCATCTGGGCTTGGTGGTGCACGCCTGTAATCCCAGCACTTGGGAAGCTGAGGCAGGAGGATCGCTGTGAGTTCGAGACCAGCCTGGACTACATAGTGAGTTCCAGGTCAGTCTCAACTACATAGTGAGACCCTGTCTCAAAAAAAAAAAAAAAAAGGGGCAGATTCTCCCCCAGACCTTCTTAGCCCCACCATTCGTGAGTTCTAGTCACCCATAAAGTTCCTTTGGGCTGAATTGATATTTGCTCTGTTGAACCAATTTGCTTCTCAGCCTGTGCTCAGAACCACCTTGACAGTGCAGGCCCTTACAGCCGTGTGTGTGTGTGTGTGTGTGTGTGTGTGTGTGTGTGTGTGTGCTCACGCACATACATATATGTATGTATATACACATATAAAATATACAAATAGATAATATATAAATAATATATACATATATAAAAATATATGCATATATATATTTGCGCTTGCGAGGCACGCAGCAGCATCACTGAGCTAAATCTCCAGCCCTGGCCTTCTATATTTTGCTTTGCTTACAGCATACTTGCTATCTCTAGAATGCCTTCCTGGGCCATCTTTGTGCTCACCCCACCCTATAAGCTCTTTTATGCCACAAGAGTTCAGTCACCTGGAATTTTAAAGCACGTTTTGACTGTTCTGGTGGGTTTTCTATCTACTTTCATTAGCCTAGGAAGTCTGTGACAGTTTCATGCATAAGCTAGAGGCTTCTTAGGGGAGGGGGACAGGATTCATTCACCTCTACATCAGACTCCAGATGCCTGCATTTGGGATGGAGACAAAAATGTATTTATTTATTTTTCTCGCATGGTCTCAGACATGGAGCTTAATTCTGTCCATCTGCATTCCCACCACCTGCGTCCAGCCAACCTGCTCTCCACCTGGACCCCTCCCAGATGGAAGCTACCAGACACCTTTACTACAGTTTCCTTGTGACACTCTGGGTGCTGCTGATCAGGGCTGACCAAGCTGTCCACTGCTTTGCATTCTTCAGTGTTTACACACTGCCCTAAGAGCAAGTACAGACTCTTTACTTCCCCTTCCATGGCCTATAAAACCCAGCTTCAGGCGGACTCGCCTTCCCCACCACTACGCACCTGTACTGAGCTCCAACTGGCCTTCCTCAAATTTCTCCTATGTCCTAGAGTCTTCCCTACGTCAGGTAGTTGGAACACATTATCCCTCTCCCTGAAGAAACTTCAACTCTTCAGAACAAAGAAGCAAGCAAGAACACTGAATGAACCCTCTGACCTGGTTAAGTCTCGTTCATCCTTCAGGTCTGTGCTCTCACGTCATTTCCATAGAGAGGTTTCCCCGCTTTACTTGTTCTTTAACATTTGTCATGCGCCAGACTCTACATTACTCACTCAGTATCAGTCTTCCTGGGTAAACTGGGAGTTCCATGAACACAGATAACTATTTTGTTCACTGGTGATTCTCTGACACAGAACATACATGTCTCAGGGCAATTTTAATTACATGACCATCTACACAACTATTTAACTAACGATTGTCTTCCCAATAGACTGTAAGCTCTGAGTGGACGGGTATGGTGCTTACCAAAAAGAAGGCCACAGTCTACTGGAGTAAATACTCACACAGGCTGATGTGCAAGGGCAGAGCAGTAACTGGCATATTATGGAGAAGTTGGGAAGATTTGAGGAAGGGAAATTTGGATTCAGCCCCCCAAAATAAATTGGAATTTGCTAAGGAAGTGTATTAGTGCAGAAGAACATGAAATGTGAAGCAGAAATGGTGAGCAATAAAACCGGAGAAGTTGCCGGGGTCACTATGAGAAGCAATCCAAGATTTAAAGCAGGTGGGATTTTCATTTTTATAAATTATCCTAGTGACTGGCATGGAGAATGGGTACCAGGGTGACAAGACTGAGAGAGAGAGAGGAAGACCAGTTAAAAGGCTGCTGCAATAATCCAGGAAGGAAAATATAAGGATATGAATAAGGACAAAGCTGGTAAAGATAGAAAGGATAGGATCAGTTCAAGAAATACTAGGTAAATAGGCGGATTTTGTACATAAAGTTGACTAAGGCCTGGAAAAGAATCAAAGAAGACCCAGTGGCTGCTAAACTAAGTGACCGGATACACACAGGGATGCCACCTAACAGAAAATACTGAAGGAGGAACAGGTTTGCAGAAAAAATTGTGATAATAACTTTGGACATGAAAATTTGAGGTTTCCATGGGTGTCCTGGGATAGCTGTCCACCAGGAGTTATCCTCAAACACCGAAGCTCAGGGAAAAAAACTAGAAGTCACCTTAACTTGCAGAGGAGGAGATCACCCACGAAGATTTTGAAGAGTGGAGAGAGGAGTGTGCTAAGAAGACCTCAGAATACCACTTTTAAGGAGCAGGAAGAGGAACTCGTGAACAGTTAGTAAAGTCTGGAGAAGTATGTGGAGAATTGAGAGGGTATCAGGTCACAAAAGCCAAAAGTAGTTTCAAGAAAAAAACAGCATTTGCTAGTGTCAAATATAGCAGAAAGGTCCAGGAAGATAAGGGCTGAAAACACCCAACAGATGTGCCAAGCGGTAAGACAAGCTGAGTGTGACTACAGATAAGTTTATAGGTAGTGGCTTTAGGGTGGGAAAGGAATTGAACAAGATCATGCTTACTGACTCCAACATTTCAAAAAGCATGTGCAGTTGTATGCTGGAAATGAAGAAGACATCTGAGGTGAAGGGGAGAAGCAAATTAGACTGAAAAAGCATGCTAGGAAGTGTTCAGACTCAGATGAGTGGGGAATATGTGCCCTTCTCTGTGAGTATGCACAAGCACTTGTGTGCACACGGGAAGACGAAAAAGCAGGAGGGGAAGACACACTGTAGTACCACCTGAGTCATCTGTTCTACTGCTTCAGGCGGACTCGCCTTCCCCACCACTACGCACCTGTACTGAGCTCCAACTGGCCTTCCTCAAATTTCTCCTATGTCCTAGAGTCTTCCCTACGTCAGGTAGTTGGAACACATTATCCCTCTCCCTGAAGAAACTTCAACTCTTCAGAACAAAGAAGCAAGCAAGAACACTGAATGAACCCTCTGACCTGGTTAAGTCTCGTTCATCCTTCAGGTCTGTGCTCTCACGTCATTTCCATAGAGAGGTTTCCCCGCTTTACTTGTTCTTTAACATTTGTCATGCACCAGACTCTACATTACTCACTCAGTATCAGTCTTCCTGGGTAAACTGGGAGTTCCATGAACACAGATAACTATTTTGTTCACTGGTGATTCTCTGACACAGAACATACATGTCTCAGGGCAATTTTAATTACATGACCATCTACACAACTATTTAACTAACGATTGTCTTCCCAATAGACTGTAAGCTCTGAGTGGACGGGTATGGTGCTTACCCTCAAGAAGGCCACAGTCTACTGGAGTAAATACTCACACAGGCTGATGTGCAAGGGCAGAGCAGTAACTGGCATATTATGGAGAAGTTGGGAAGATTTGAGGAAGGGAAATTTGGATTCAGCCCCCCAAAATAAATTGGAATTTGCTAAGGAAGTGTATTAGTGCAGAAGAACATGAAATGTGAAGCAGAAATGGTGAGCAATAAAACCGGAGAAGTTGCCGGGGTCACTATGAGAAGCAATCCAAGATTTAAAGCAGGTGGGATTTTCATTTTTATAAATTATCCTAGTGACTGGCATGGAGAATGGGTACCAGGGTGACAAGACTGAGAGAGAGAGGAAGACCAGTTAAAAGGCTGCTGCAATAATCCAGGAAGGAAAATACAAGGATATGAATAAGGACAAAGCTGGTAAAGATAGAAAGGATAGGATCAGTTCAAGAAATACTAGGTAAATAGGCGGATTTTGTACATAAAGTTGACTAAGGCCTGGAAAAGAATCAAAGAAGACCCAGTGGCTGCTAAACTAAGTGACCGGATACACACAGGGATGCCACCTAACAGAAAATACTGAAGGAGGAACAGGTTTGCAGAAAAAATTGTGATAATAACTTTGGACATGAAAATTTGAGGTTTCCATGGGTGTCCTGGGATAGCTGTCCACCAGGAGTTATCCTCAAACACCGAAGCTCAGGGAAAAAAACTAGAAGTCACCTTAACTTGCAGAGGAGGAGATCACCCACGAAGATTTTGAAGAGTGGAGAGAGGAGTGTGCTAAGAAGACCTCAGAATACCACTTTTAAGGAGCAGGAAGAGGAACTCGTGAACAGTTAGTAAAGTCTGGAGAAGTATGTGGAGAATTGAGAGGGTATCAGGTCACAAAAGCCAAAAGTAGTTTCAAGAAAAAAACAGCATTTGCTAGTGTCAAATATAGCAGAAAGGTCCAGGAAGATAAGGGCTGAAAACACCCAACAGATGTGCCAAGCGGTAAGACAAGCTGAGTGTGACTACAGATAAGTTTATAGGTAGTGGCTTTAGGGTGGGAAAGGAATTGAACAAGATCATGCTTACTGACTCCAACATTTCAAAAAGTATGTGCAGTTGTATGCTGGAAATGAAGATGACATCTGAAGTGAAGGGGAGAAGCAAATTAGACTGAAAAAGCATGCTAGGAAGTGTTCAGACTCAGATGAGTGGGGAATATGTGCCCTTCTCTGTGAGTATGCACAAGCACTTGTGTGCACACGGGAAGACGAAAAAGCAGGAGGGGAAGACACACTGTAGTACCACCTGAGTCATCTGTTCTACGTACTTTAGGCAAGTAAGAACTGAGTGTGGTTCAGATGGGACCAGGATGGGATGCAAAGAGAGAAAAGTACCAAATGACCAAGAAAAAAGGTCTTGCTATTCAGTTCAGGATGGACTTGGACTCCTATGTAGCCCAGGATGGCCTCGAACTTGCAGCGATTATCCTGCCTCATCCTCCTGAGTGCTGGGATTACAGGCACAGCACCACACTCAGCCAAATGTTCTTTATTTCACAAGGAAGCTGTCCATTTCCCGATCTGGAATTACTTTTTCTTATGCATTCCTAGGATGGGGTCGTTTCAGCTTTTAAAACAACTGTTGTTTCACTGTTGCTATTATCACACTGGTCTGCGTAGGGGTCCGTCCTGCAGTAGCTATAAAGGGCTAAAAGTAGGGCCCAGGTCAGCGTCAGGGGGGCCTGGGGCACGCAGAAGCCGGAGCAGGTTGGACCAGGTTGCAATGAGGCGTCGTGGGGCCCGGCCGGGGGAAGAGGGCGCTGGCCCGGCTTACCTTCTCTTTGACTGCCTGGTAGCTCTGCTGCAGCCAGCTCCGCCACCATCCCACGTCCTCCCTGTGGAAGACAGACACATCTGCCGGCCCTGGAGTGCGACTCTTGCCCGCCCAATGGTCAGCTCTCCGTTTCCCCCTAGGATGTGGCCCGCTGCCCGAGGTTTCCCAAGCCGCTTCCCTACCCCCTCACACTGCGAATCCACTCTGCCCTTTCAGCTCTGTCCACGCCCACACTGACTTCCAGTTCCCCTTGGGGACCGTGGCCCAGCACCCGACCCCTGGGAGAATTCAGGCCCCAACTCCTGGGAGCGGAATGACGAGCTCACCCTTCCGCCATCTTGCCTGCCTGACATCACCACTATTTACCGACCTTTGACTTCCGAGACTGCCCCTCCCCCTCAAGCCCCGCCCCGAAGTGCGCTGCCCAATAGTTGCGCCAGCACCACCCTCAGCCCAATCCCCACCCCGCTCCATCATTAGGCCCTGCCTCTTTGGGCTCTATCCAGTCTCAATCCCGAGTTCGCATTTAAACTCCGCCTCTGAACTCTCGGTCCAATCGTTATTCAGTTCTATCCTCTGGCCTCACCTCCACCAGCGGCAACTCTTTCGGCGGACTTCCCTTACGGTGGCCGCTGTGCGCCTTGTTTGGCCGATTTCGATTTTTGATGGCGAATAGGGAGTAGTGGGAAGGACAAGAAGGAATCCGGCTGGAACTCGAACATCAGGCTCTCTGAGCGCAGAACTAGGACTGCCCTCCTTTGTGAAAACCAGCTGCGTGGCGGCTGTTCGTTCGGACTCATTCGGCGTGCACAAACTGGGTGTGTGTGGAGGGGCAGCTTGTGGGCCAGCGTTCGGAGGAGTGTGGAGGAAAATTTGGTGGCAAATTCTGGGGAGTCCCAGGATATTGTAGAGTACTCCCTTTAACAGGGAAATTCCTGAATTGCCTACACTTGCTTTGCCCAACTTCTCTCTGTTGGACGCCTGAAGTTGAGTTTCTAGCTCTGCACAATCCAGTAAAGGAAAAAAAAATTTTTTTTGGTACCTGGGATCGAACTCAATGCAATGGCCAATTTCTTTAATTTTTCTTTTTGTCAGCATCTAACATGACACAGTTGGCCACTTCCTCCTCCTCCTCCAAAGGCTTTCTTCACTTGGCTTTCAGGATGCTGAACCTCCCAACTTCCTTCTCTGAACTTCTTGGGTATCCCCTTCTTAGTGTTTTTTGGTCTCATTGCTAGAATGCCCCAGAGCTCAGTCCCTGTTTCTCTTTTTTCCACATCTGTAATCATTCCTCGGGTGATTTAATCAAACTTAGCATTTTAAATGTCTTCTACATGATGCTAACTCTCTATTTTTCTTCGGGATTCAAACATCTGTGAACACCAGGCTCACATTTGAATGTGTAACAGGCATATTAAACTTAATGAGTCTGAAAACAAGATTCTGATACTAAACTTCCTTCCCCGTTTGTATAAATGGCAACCTCATTCCTCCAGTTGTTCAAGCTAAAAACCCAGGAGTTATCATTGATTCCTTATATTCCTTCATACTACAAGGTTAATCCCTCAGTAAATCCAGTTGGCTCTGCCTTTAAAACAAAAACAAAATCACTTCATTACCTCCAATGCTACTAGATCCAACCCACTATCATCTGTCACCTAGTTAATCACAAGAGCCTCTTAACAAGTATCTCTGTATCCACTTTTACCTTGTCTAGTTTTAATTTGTCCTGGGAGAAATCTTTTTTAAAAAACCAAGTTGAACAGACACAGTAGTGCATGCCTGGAATCCCAGCCACTTGTGAAGCTGAGGCAGGAGATTGTAAATTCAAGGCCAGCCTAGGCAATTTAACAAGACTCTTGTCAAAATGAAAAATTAAAAATGTCTAGGAATGTAGCTTAATGGTACAGTGCCCTTGGGTTTGATCCCCAGTACTGCAAAACAAAACACCTAATTTGAGACTGGGGCATGGTGGTGCAAAACTATAATCCCAGAACTCCTGGCAGCAGAATCAGGATTACAAGGTCAAGCCCAGTCTGGGCATTTTAGAGACTTAGCGAGACCCTGTCTCAAAAAAAACATAAATGCCACCATGACACAGTAAAAAAAAAAAAAAAAAAAAAAAAAAAAAAAAAAGGGGACTATAGCTCAGTGTGAAGACCCTGGGTTCAATCCTCAGTACATGGGAGGGAGTGAAACCTAAATGTGGGAATGTAAAATGGTGCAGTTAGTGTTGAAGTACAGTATGATGTTCCTCAAAAAATTAAAAGTAGAATTATCATATGCGTTAGCTTTTCATTGCTATGACCAAATACCTGATAAAGAGGAAGCTTAAAAGGAGAATGACTTATCTTGGCTCATGGTTTCAAAGATTTCAGTCCACGTTTGTCTGGCTCCATTGGTTTTAAACCTGCGTGGGGCCAAAGGACATGGGAAGGGAGGCTTGTTCACTTCTTGGCAGCCAGAAAGCAGAAAAGGGGAAAAGTCCAAAAGGAAGGGGCTAGGAACAAGATAAAGTTCCCAAAGTCACACTCCTATGATCCACCTTTCAATGAGCCTCCATCTCTGTTTCCATCGCCTCCATCTAATTTGATTACTTCACCAATGAGGTTAAAACTGTCATGATCCCATCACTTCTCTAGGCCCCACCTCTGGCTCAAACTCTCAATACGTGAGTCTTTGCAGGACATTTCATATTTACGTTTTTGTTTTTTTATATAATTTTTTTGGAGACAAAGTCTTGCTGTGTAGGTCAGGCTGCCCTTGAGTCCACTATGTAGCCCAGGCTGGCCTCAAACTCGTGGCGATCCTTCTGCCTCAGCCTCCCAAGAGCTGGGATTACAGGCGTGCGCCACCATGCCTGGTGACACTGCACTTTTAAGCCCTAACATCGTATGATTCAGTAGCTCTCTTTCTGGGTGTGTACCCCAGAGAACTGAAAACAGAACCTCAAACAGATATTTGTATAGCAGTGTTCATAGCAGCACCATTTACAGTAGCCAAATGGAAGCAAGCCAAGTGTCCACTGATGGATCAATGGATAAACAAAACATGAAACACACTTACAATGGAATACTCTTCAAATTTAAAAAGGAAAGCAATTCTGGCTTCCTCTCTCTCTTCCTCTCTCTCTCTCTCTCTCTCTCTCTCTTTCTCTCTCTCTCTCTCTTCCCTCTCCTCTCCCTAATCTGCCGTCCCTAATAAAAATCTCCTGTCAGGAGAAAAAGAAATTCTGAAACATCCCATAGCATGGATGACCCTTGAAGACGTTATGTAAGAGGAAATATGTCAGGCATAAAAGGATAAATACTGTATGATTTCATTTATCTGTGGTACCTAGAGTAGTCAAATCCATGGAGAAAGACGGTAGAAGGGATGCAGAGGAGGAGGGCCTGGGGCCTTTCGTGCGATGGGCGTAGGGTTTCAGTGTGCGAGGTGAATGCTGGTGGTGCCCGCACGCTGCTGAATAGAACAATAATGCCCCAGCCCTTCTCTGCACAGTTTGCTGATTTCACTCAGAGGAAAAGCCAGTGAATCCTTGTGATCTTCTCTAAGGCCCTATGCTGTCAATCTGGTCCTGGACTACTGGGTTCCCTGACCATTCTGCTCCAGATGCGTTGGCTCCTCCGATTTCCTTGAAAATGTCTGGTACTTTCCTGACTCGGAGTCCTTGTATCTTCTGTTCCTTCTCCTTCCGATGCTCTTACCCCAGACAGCCATGTACTTCTACTTTCCTCCTCTCCTTTACATCTTTCCTCAGATATTTTTTTCTTATCCACGCTGCCCACATTATTTAAAGTTAATACTTGTACCTCCTCTCTGCTTAAGATTTTCTCTGGACCGCTGATTGGGCATACTATCTACTAGCCATTTTTTTGTTTTTGTTTTTAGTGTCTGTTTCCTTCAGACTAAAATGTGACCTCCATGAAGGCAAGGCTTTTTGTCTGTCTTCACTTATCCATCCCTGACACCTAAAAGTGGCTGTGTATTTATTAAGCAGTGTGTTGATTATACACACTCAATGTTTGTTGAGTGAAAGAATAAGTGCAAAGAGAACAAGGACAGACTGGACTAATCTGGAGCAATTTGGAGCAGTTAAACTGAAAATGAAGTGAAGCTGTAAACAGCATTAACATCTACATTCAAGGCCTTGGAATGCAAGGCTTAAAACTCATGAACAGATGAGTCACCAAAGGTTTTTTGTTTAGTGGCTTTGAACCCAGGCCCTTGCACATATTATGTAAATGCCTTTTCACTAAGATACAACTCTTCTTTTGCCAGAGATTTTGAAAGGTAGGTAACTTATGTTGTGATCAAATGATCACATGCTATTCTTTTTTTTTTTTTTGAGACAGGGTCTTGCTATGTAGCTCAGAGGGCCCTTGAACTCACTATGTAGTCCAGGCTGGCCTTGAACTCATGGCAATCCTCCTGCCTCAGCCTCCCAAGTGCTGGGATTACAGGCATCTACCACCTCACCCAGCAATCACATGCTGGTTTTTTTGTTTTGTTTTGTTTTTTTGGTACCTGGGATTGAATTTGGGACCTTGTACTTGCAAGGCAGGTGTCAGGACCACTGAGCTAAATCCCCGGCCCTCACATGCTACTCTTTTTTTTTTTTTCCATGCTATTCTTAACAAGTACAAGAGGGCCATTTATTAAACAAGTGAGCCAGGCATGGTGATGCATGCCTATAATCCCAGCACTCAGAAGGCTGAGGCAGGAGGATCACTGTGAGTTTGAGACCAGCCTGGGCTACATAGTGAGACCCTATCTCAAAACCCCCCCAAAACAAAACAAAAACAAGTATTTTATAAAGTGTACCTTCCCAATAGCTTTATGAAGTAGAAACTTTGTGTATGTGGGAGGGGGGGTTACTGGGAATTGAACCCAGCCACTGAGCTACATCCTCAGCTCTTATTAAATTAAAAAAAATTAAGAGGGTGTCACTAAGCCGCTAAATTACTTAAGCTGGGCTTGAATTTATGATCCTTCTGCCTCAGCCTTCTAGAATGCTGGAATTATAGGATGCTGGCAAGGTAGGGACTATTTTTAATCCCTTCTCTTCTTTTTTTTTTTTCCTCTTCTAGTACTGAAGATTGAACCCAGGCAAGGCCTTCACACTGAGCTATATCACCTTCTAAAACATTTTTCTATTTCGAGATAGGATCTCTCTAAGTTGCCAAAACTTGGGCTCAAACTTGTGATCCTCCTGACTCTGTCTCCCAGAGTGCTGGGATTACAGCTGTGCACCAAAGGGTGATATTCATTTTGTAAATGAAGAGCCTGACAGTGCCACCAGGGGGTGCCCTGGTCTCATTCAAATGAAGCCAGCTCGGTTTTCAAGCCGGCGGACAGAGGGGTGCTGAGAGCCCTCCTGGCTCCCTGGGGTGTGTGGGGATGGAATCAGCGGAAGGCAGCAGAGCCTGGGTGACCCTGGAAGATGACTCAAACCTTTTAGGCCTTCTGGAAGC